TAAGAAGTCTATACACAGCAGGTTGTAGGTATTAAGAGGTGAGCTAACGAGTGATTTTAAAATAATTGTGAATGTGATTTTTTAAACTGTGAATGTGATTTCACTTGTAGGTGCCGTTTTCGTGATATAGGAGAGTGATAGGCAATTGTGCGTCACTTGCAGAAACAATTTTAAAACATTTGTAATTTTTTTTACATATTTATTAAATAACTAACCTTATTTAGGTATACAACAAATAATATTTTATACTTAAAGTACCAATTATTTTGAGGACACCAAAAAATAACAGCCACTGCAACTGGCTGCACATTTTGTAAACCTAGGTACTCTAAAAGTTCTAAAATCATTCTGGAAAAAATTAAATTAGTAACAAAAAACTATTGCCTTACACAGAACGAATAGCGTAGGTAGCTCTTAATTCTTTGTAAACAAGCTATATTTTATTTTAATTTTTGATCTGAAAAAATAACTATTTGAGAGAAAATAGGTACAAAATATTACGTCGCTACTCTTCGTGGAGATTTTCAGAATTTATTGATATTGTGTGGTGTTGCATTCCATGTGCCGTTTCAAATGCGACGTACTTGTTTTGTAAGATCATTTTGCTTTGCATGAATTGCATTTAGCAAAATTATCATTTAATGCAGAAAGGAAATAACACAAAAAATTAATTTTCGGTCGCTTAGCGCAATACATAATAAACAATTTCAACTCGAAAAAATAAACAAAACAGAAACACTAAGCATATTCCCAGAAAATTATTTAAAAAATACACAAACATGTTACCGGTACACAATCAGAATACCTACGGCTAATGAATAATGCATACTGAAATGGGATCCCAAAAATATCAATAAAATCGAGGCTCATGGGAACCCGTGAATGCAATCTTTCATTAACAAACAAAATAATTTTATTTGGGTTCGTTCTTTGTCCGGGCCACATGTGCTCGATCACTACACGCAATTCGCAATAGTAGCGTTGGCAGTGAAAATATAAGTCGCTCTTTAATATTACGTTTTATATTACAGTTGAATTTTACGTTTGCCATAGTTGTCGTTTGTTGATTGCGATTTATTAATCACAGGTATCTAGTGATTTGTTACTCAACTCTAGTAGGTATACACGGTCGCTTTTCTGTAAACGGGGGAATATTTTCTAAACTAAGAAAGCTAGAACAAAATGATTAAAATTAATATCAAAAGTTTCTTTCTAGTCTATTTACGTAAAGAAAAATTTAGTATACAGAATCAATCAAAAATGGTGCTTTCACACCTGACGAGCCGAGCCTGGCTCGCGCCAAAATTTATTTATTGTTTCGTCAAAATACCTACAGACGCTCCAGTTTCTGTTGATGTTTTAACAAAATATGAAAGGAATTTGCCGCGTCTCATGCTCGGCTCGTCAGGTTTGGACGCACTATTAGTTTACACGACGAAAGTGACAATTTTTACTTACCCTTACCAATTATGCGAATTAATATACAGGGTCCCTCTTTGGGAGCTTACACTTGAAGTATCTGCCAAACCAAATTTACCAGGGTTTCAATACAAGGTAATGATGTTGGAGGTAACTCCTCTAAAATATTATTATACAGGGTTGCTCATTAGTGCGTCAAAGTGCGATATCTCAGTAAATATGAACTTTACAAGAAAATACGTCCTACGAAAGATTTTCATGTTTAAAAGGTCCACATTTTAAAATTACTTTCCAATATACGGGGTGTATCATAAACGTGTGGTAGTTACCAACTTTGGTTTTTTAAATGGAACCGCCCCTTTTTTCATTCATTTTCAGATTTGTCGTCAAAATTTAAGTTAAGTTTGTGTCAAACGTTTTACCTGAAAAATTTACGATTTCCGAGTTATTCGTAAAAATGTGAAAGTTTTGACAGCTACTGGGTTCCACAGAAATCAATGCTGTACACTACCCGCTGCGAATTTTGGAAAACAGTTTTCAGCGATTCTAACAGAACATCATGATCTACGCGTAGATATGTTTTAAATTATAA